TGCAGCTTTCCTGCTCCTCTGATGCTGCTTGGCCTGCTGTGTTCATCCAGCTCTATGCCGTGTTATCTCACATTCTCCAGCATTGGCAGTTCCTACTATCTCTGAATAGATCCATGAACAGGAAAGGGTTAGAGGGATATGGGCCAAACGCAGGCAAATGGGACTAGTTTAGTTTGGGAAACTTGGTTGACATGGACGAGTTGAACTGAAGGATCTGTTTCCATGTTGTATGACTCTATGAATGGAGGATTTTCCACCTGACTCTCAGATATGTTTTACCAGGGATCCTTGTTGCCATGACATTAAGGGCAATTCAGCTCTTGTGACCAAAACCTAAGACTATCCGCATCTGAACTGCGGCTGTCCTTCCGCCACTATCCACCTCTGCATTGATACCCCATTACCACCAACCTTGCTGTAGTAATGCCCCTGTGCCTCACAGTGAACTACCTCTTGTCCCTCACTATGGTCATTATAAGCTAGGTCAAGTGATCAACTACCTAGGGGTTACAAAGCACACTCAACCAAAAAGATATCTATGTGTTACCCAGTTTGGTGCTGCTTAGAACACAGATTGATTTTCCATCTCTGCCTCTTGACAGATTTCCTGTTCCCAGATCTCTCTGCATTTTTCTCCGAGTTCCTTGCTACACATTACTGGCTGAAGAACAGTGCAGTGCTCTTCCCTTGTTCTCCATTTAAGGAAGGCTAACAATATCAGTATAAGGCAAGATGATCCCAGCTTCGCTCCAGAAGAACACAGATTAAAAAATAAGGTTTATTTTTCCTACAAATGTTCCCTCCCCACAGCTGGATGAGTGTGGATAGCTACTTGGCAGCTGCCCAGTGTGTTGTGAAATCCCTCAATGTCTTAGCAAACACCAAAATCCTTTCAGTCCATGCTGCATTTTCAGAGGGAGCTTTAAGCAAGGCATTACCTGAAAACAGAAAAGGTTGGAAGTACTCAGCAGGTCAGGCAGCACCTGTGGTGAGAGAAACACAATTAATGTTTCAGAAGTCAAGCCTTTCGTCAAAATGGTTCTGATAAAATATCACCAACCTAAAACATTAACTGATTCTGTCCACAGCTGCTGCCTGACCTGCTGTATACTTTATTTTCATTTCAGATTTCCAACTTCTGCTGTATTTTGCTTTTGCATTAGGCTTGGATTTATAGCTTTAAGCATGGCCTCTGACCAATGAGGAAAGTTTAGATAATACCGTTATGT